TAAAAACTTTCTTATTAAAATTAACCACTAACAAAACAAAACGGGCAAGGTTGAGGTTTTCTCAATCTAATGGTTCAATTTTCGAAATCTGACGCACCATCCATATGTTTATTTGGTACTGCATAAAAAAAAGGGCATCAATCTAAGGTACATCTTTAAATCACATTGACCCTAAAATAGATTATTCTACACTCAGGAAATGTAGGCAAAAACCTATATTGAGGCCTTTAACTTATGAAGTTTATTGTTTTTAACCTTTCATCTTACATATTTAAGTCTTTAACCCCTTAACTTGAGAGTTTGAAGATTTTAATCCTTGACCAACGGTTAACTCTCCTCTCCGTTAGGTAAAAATAAAAAATTATAAGATCAATCCCTAAAGTTTAGAAAAGTGATAGTTTAATCTCAAAAGTTTTTAAAATAAATTAGTAAATCAAAAAATAAATTAGTAAATCAAAAACTTTTGACACTAGATTGTCACTTGTCTAAAATTTGAGAATGAACTGTCACTTTTTTAAACTTTGGAGACTGATTTTATAATTCTTTAATTTTACTTAAGGAAGAGTTAACAATTTTGTTAGTTAACTATTAAGTTGAGGAACTAAAATTTTCAAACTTTTAAATTTAAGAGTTAAAAGTTTGAATATATAAAATGAAAAACTAAAAGCAACAAACTTATAATATAAGATAAAGCGATAAATGTATATTTTTGCCACAAAATGTAATTCATGCTAATATTATATTATAATGAAAAAATGTTTTACAAATCAAATTGTATTTTAAAAATAGAGGTTAACTTATAAATTTCTTAAAATATTTTTAATAAAAATATTTTTTATATTATTTCATTAAGAATATTTTAATAATTTCATAACGCGCAATGTACTTTTAATGTATAATTTAGTCTATAAAACATTAATCCCATTTTATAAAATGAATTATAGAAAATAATGTACATAAATAAATAAATTGTTACTTATTAATTTTAAGGGATTTATGTTTTATAAGATAGATTGTACATTAAAAATATAATTCACCCTATGAACTTATTAAAATACTATTAATAAATAATATAAAAAATAATTTTATTAAGGTATTTTAATAAATTTATAAAACAAATTACACTTTTAATGCATAATTTACCTTATAAAACACTTTTTTTTTTTTAATTTTAAAATCTTAAATTCACAGTGGACGTCAGATTCTAAAATTCGAATGTTGGTAATTGCCAGTTGTAATTCTTCGTTGAATCTTTCTGATTCAATGAATTGTTGATCTTTATAGTTGTGCACATAATGCATAACACACGCAAACATGCAATGGAAATTGACCGGACTTTTGTTTGGTTTTTTTTACTACCATTCATATTTGGTGACGAACAAGGCATTCAATACAAAGGTCGCAGATTAATTTCATTTCAACTTTAATAAAATTCCATCCACTTCTGTCCACCTAATGACATCCAAAATTTACTTTTTGTGTATCCGAAAGCCATTAATAGTGTCAATTTTGCAAGTTAGGCACGAAAGGTATTATAATTCATGCGCGGTTCATTTGGTGGGGAGGAAGGCAGAGATTTATTATGTTCGGCATAGTTTTTTAATGGTAACGCGGACACATTCATTTGGCGGATAAAATGGGTTTTCCTAACTTTCTGTGGTCCAACACGTCCTCATGAACCAAACCCAAGTCCTTTCTGCTTGCTATTTGCAAACCAAATTCTTGCAACCTCGTGAGTCTTAATTATTCATGTTGCCCTTTTTGTTCTTTTTCGTCCAACAAGAGGGAAAGTCCAATTTCAGCTCTAAAAAATGGCATTAAATAGACAAGCTGAAAAAGATCGAGTTCAGCTTCCGTGTGGAGATGGAGTTATGATAAACAGAGTGTATTAAGACAAACGACATGTCCTATATAAATTTATGAGTAATTCATTTTCGTCACATAACCAAACACTACCATTCGGTTAGTATTTTCTAGGAATGAATGATTGCCTGAATTCTAAAGAATCCCGACTCAGAGATAATCACTTGTAATTCAATTGATAAGTTCTAATATAAAAATAAATAATAAATAAATAACAATGGGACCTTGGCATGGGTAGGAAAGACAAAGGGAAAATCCTCGAATCCCCGCGATTCGGTACACCCCTAAATCAAATGTGCTGGCTGGTTGGGATGGAAATTTTTCTGGGCGTAAAGGCAGGTATGGGCAGATAATTGGCAAAAATCCTTCTTAAACCCCCAAATTTACCCTAAAATTACATTTAAACCCCTAAACTAAAAACAAAGTAGGTAAACTCTCTAACACCATTGACGATGTAAATAAATCATTCTCACAAACGGTTAAACAGTATTTCATGTTTAATATCACTTTGAAAGCATGAACACCATGAATAAAAATGGCTTATTTACATTATTAGTAAAATTAAAAGGCTTATCTATTTCATTTTTAATTCAAAAGCTTAAATACTATTTTAAGATATATTTGAGAGCTTAAGAAGGGTTTTTGCCCAGATAATTCGGCCTGTCCTGAGAATCATTTCTTCATGAATCATTCCCGTATGAATACTAAATTGTAATAGAATGTATGGTGATTAGTCTATTTATATTTGGTTATTTTTACCACGTATAAGTGATGATAATAAAACTTCATATATGTGATATTTCATTCTCTTGGAGTGTATTTTATAATGATAACTGCTATTTTATTGATTTTAATTTTAAAAAGCAATAATAAAAATTAAAATATATTTTTATTTTTTATAATATTTTATTAAAATTACATAATTTTAAAATAATTTTTTTTAATTTTTTAATTTTTTAAATTGAAAATTATTACGCAATTTAGATTATATCAAACTATGTAATAATGACTATTAAATGAAGGGTG